AGGGCCCTGAAATGCTTCTTGTGGAAATCAAGACGTGAGGACTAAGGTCCAGAAGAGGAGTTCTAAGGGTCTAGGAGGGTATGAAGGGCAGTATGTCAGTTGTGTTGTACAAAGCCTGTAAGAGCTGGGATTGAAAGATTCAGAGCTGTGATTTCCTTGGAGCTGGCTGCATTAGCTGTATTAGACATGGGAGACACTTCTGGAAGCTTCTTACAGAAGCCACCCTTATAGCTCCCTGCTACCAAGACCTTGCCATGAAAACTCAATGCAGACTATTTGTTTCATATTTCTTCACAACTATAGGTTTTGCCTTTGATGTTGAAAGGTCTGTTCCTATAAAAAGGGGGTTGGCTACCATGAGGGGCTACAGTCAGAGTGGGGTTAATGTTGAGAGAGAGAACTCTGCCCTCAGAACACCAGATATTGAGCTCCTGTATGTACACAGCAGCAAGCAACCAGCAGAGCTAGGATGGATGCTGGGACATTCGTGGCAGATGAACCAGTCTCCTCATAGTCTGTACTTTCCAAAAACCTACATCAGAAATTACTTTCTCCCAACAGGTATATAATTAGTCCTTAATTGCATCAAAAACACATCATTCGATACTGTTTCTTGATCTGTTCCTTATAATTAGTGATAATTTTTTTTTTTTTTTCTTCAGCTAAGGGTTTGTCAGTAATACACACATTGAACTGCATGAAATCACTATATTGCATCACAGCCTCTAAAGCTAAAGGAGGTATTGAGCAAGTTTCCCATGGAACATTTGTGCTTGGGATTTACTCCTCATAGTCCCTAATGAGGAAACACTATAATATTCCTGCGTTTGGTCATTTGCTCTGTCAAATCGTTGGAAATTACAGCAGGGAATTTCCTATTTGGTTCTGTTCTTCCTGGTTGATCAGCTGTATTGCTAGAATGCTTTATTTTCAGCAGTTCAGGCAAGGGCAGTAACATGCAAGAAGACAGCATCTGTTTGTAAGGATGAAAAAAAATTGAGATTTTAGTTAACTGCTGCCAGTCAATTAAAAACTGTCAATATGTTTCTTGTCTTACTGCAGGGGACAGGAAAAGATATTATGGAGAGCACCTAAAGTCAGGGCATTTAAGAGATTTTTGTATTGGTTTGGCTTTTTGGTTGGTTTGGGCTTTAATATTCATGGTTAATATAAGACCTAAGCTCATAAAGAAGTGACTAGAAACTGTAGTTCAAATGAAATAGTTAATGATTAAAAAATTCCTTCTCTGTGTTCCTTAGAGTAAAGGAAAGTTGGAAAGAGGCAAATAAGTTAGGAAACTGTTAAGAACAAAAGGCAAGTTGTGTGTGACAAAACCAGAAAAAGTACTGTGGGCTTGTCTGTGGCTTGGGAAGGAACCTAAGAGTAAGACCATGCTCAGAGGAAGGGCCATGTCCAGTTGAGGTTTCAGTATCTCCAAGGGTATTCAAACTGGAGTTTCACATCTCCTCCTGAGCAGCTCATCCCAGTGCTTCACCCCCCTTCCTCTGAAGAGGGTTTTTTCACTGTCTGATGAGAATTTCCCTTCTCACGACTTGTGTCTGCTTCCTCGTGTTCCTCAGACGTGCTCTCCTGAGGAGACTCTGGGCACAGCCCTCCCCACGAAGCCCCACAGTCCCCAGCTCAGGGGAATAATGTCTCTCCTCAACCTGACTTGTGCCATCCCTGACCCCCACTCCATGTGCAGACTCCTAACTGCATCAATATTAGGACACTAAAGACAACATTTTGGCCCAGCAGTGACGACCTCAGCTGGCCCATGAACAGACTCTGAAGTGCTGGTGGCCACCCTGATGTCTCTCACTTGCATTGTAGCCCTTGGACAGGCCACACAGACTCATCTGGTCATGCAGGTGCTAGAGGAAAACAGGCCCAAGGTCTCACTGGGTCAGGGTAGACAAGAGTCACTGGCCACTTGCCCACAGGGAATAATCACTTCCCTTGAACACTTACTTACATATACCCTGCTGGTTTTGGATTTTTGCCTTCTGTTTGCATTATGGACTTCCAGTTGTAGAGATTGATAAGATATGGTTATGAGTCATATTGGGACATAGCAACTTTCTCCAGCAGTTTGCATTAAACTGTCTGATTTTTAACTACTTCATGCAAATAAAATGAAGGTATTTTGTACACACTAAGTGCAAATAACAGGAGAGTGCTCCTGAGGCCCTCCTCACAGTTTTTGTTCTAAATCTTAATCTAATTTCCTAACTCAAACAAATAATTTTTTTGACTGATGCAAAATGATCACTGTGACAGGAAGCACAACATCTGCTATGGCCTCTGCTGGGAACAGTGGTGTCATGAAAACTGCCCAAGGGCAGAAGTGTGGTATGAGCATTAACTGGGTGAAGTCATTGGTCTGATACCCAAACTGCATGTGCTTAATTAGGAGCAGGTAGGAGTGTCAACGCTCAGGTGACAAGATTCTGCCTAAAGAGAAGTGAATGGGGAATAAACAGAGCTGTGGGGTCAGAAGGGAGACTTGGGCTGCAAGGCCATCTCAATGTAGATTGTCAATAATCACATTAAGCTGTGATTGCCTGGGAGATGGCAGAAGAAACACCAGAGTTGGATGTGAGTGTAACAGATTCAAGATCAATGAGGAAAAGGAATTAGGGGTGAGTTGTTTATTTGGGGGCAATTTGGGCAAAGGAAATAAGAGATGCAGGGGTAGTGAAAAGGCGGGTTCAAGACAAGGAAAGAATGGTGAATAAGGTACAAAATGAAGGAGAGCAAGACATGGGAGGATCTCACGAGAGGAGGACTGCAGCTGCCTCCAGGCAGTGGTGAAACTGGCCAGTGGGCCCAAGCTCCCCAAGATGCTGGAGGCAACTGCTGTGGACAACCCACCAGATGCTCCACCAGATCTGTCTGAGATGACACAGGAGCAGGGAGTAAGGAGAGGCAAACTGGTAAGGAAGGACAGACTTGTACCTTAGTACTCAGGGCGGGAGGCGAGGAAGCAGAACTGCAATTTAATACCATTTACAAGTGATTTTTCAGTTTTTATTATAATAATTTAAACAATATATTGATGTAACCACTTTGTCAATAGTGATAATGAGCAATAAAATTGTAACTCAGTAGTACTTGAAGTGATATAATTATGATGTAATACTATGAATAATATTGGAATTTTTATTAGCCAATTAGATTTTTTTTAAAGGAGCTTATCAATATCTACAGGACAGGGGGCAAGAGGATGGGGTCAGATTCTTTTCAGTGGTGCCCAGCAACAGGGACAAATGGAAACCCATCTGAACCAGGGGAAAAACTTCTTTCCTGTGAGGGTGTCAGAGCCCTGGAGCAGGCTGCCCAGAGATCCTGTGGAGTCTCCCTCTCTGGAGAGGTTCCAAACCCATCTGGACACCATCCTGGGCACCCTGCTGTGGGTGACCTGCTGGAGCAGGGGGTTGGGCGAGATGTTCTCCTGAGGTCCCTTCCAGCTCCTATCCATTGATAGCAAGATGCGGTTACTGTCTTGACAATCTTAAAAAGTTCTCTTTCTAAAGTAGCTGGAGCCTCTCCTGGTATCGACACTGGAATGAAATTGGAGGGCGGAAGTGGAGGAGTGTGAGGTGATCACCTAATGTCTAATTTTCATTAGGCAGTTGCTTGATGGAGACTGGATGGTGTGAACTCCTGCTCAAAAAATGGTGATTAAACAAAAAATCCCAGGATGCTACTGGACAGTCAGTTTAAAAAGAAAAAAAGAAAAGATTGTGCTGATGGGGAAGACAGAGAACTGTTTATTGCCAGCCTGATGCTTCTTGATACCTGTCAATCTAGAAATATAAGTGATACGTGTTTAACTACTCCCATCTTTGAGGAAAGGAAAAAGTTATCAAGCCAAACTTCCATCATTTCAGGTGTTATCCTAGTTTTGTAGCAGTGCTGAATACTGACAGCCCTTAAAAACAGTTCAGAAATAGCTGCCTACTGAAAGCATTGATCTTTGTGTCCTTACAGCATTTCACTATGTCTCATAAAGCAATTACAAAAAGCAGTTTACCTCAGGGCATGGGGTCTTTGTTGCCTCCTCCCCCATCCCTTGGCCAATGGTAGTGGCTCTGAGGAGCAGCATCTCCAATGCATGTGATGGCATGCATGCTGCTGGGCTGCTCATACACACTCCAGCCACATGAGCTCCCCTAAATTCTGGCTATTGTATAGAGAGAAAAACAACTTGTTCCGGAGTTCAAATTTTTTACATGTTTAGGAAGAAATAACCTCAACACACCTTTTGTGAGAGGTACTGGCAGTCCGTGAAGAACGTGTGACAAACTGGCAGAAAATGATGGCGGTGAGCAGATGGATCAAGAAACCCATTTCTGTCAATGGCTGATGCTGCTCACATGTCCCGGCCGATGCTGCAGTCCAGAGCTCAGAAAGCAGTAGACTGGGAGGCCTGATGTTACTGGCTTGGCCAACTGGTAAATGTCACTGTGTGCTCTGATGTCACTGCAGGCAGTTACCCGGCTCCTGTGAGCGTGTGAAGTGAGTCTGTCTGGGTTAGGCCCACCACTGGCTGCCCCCAAGGGCTTGTTAAACTAGAGCACAACCAATATGCAGTTTCTGTAGGTAACATCGAGAGTTACCTACATTTGACTTTCCTCATTTCACAACCCACACTCCTACCCCTGAAAATACACACGCTTCGCCCACAGAACTATTACCTCACACCCTTTTATTTCCTTTTCTTTTTGGCTGAATTTTCTAACCTACTTGGAAAAAAAAAAAAGTTTCCCCAGCATACTTATCTGTGGTTATAGCAGCCAGAAGGTGCACCGGGGACAAGTCGGGCTCGATGGAATTTGCCGTGGGGAAACCCGCTGATGAGAGTGGAACCCGCCCGTGTGGCTTCCGCCGTGACGCTGCCGGCACCCTTCATAAGCAGGTGGAGGTGCGGCGGGGCAGGCAGAGCAGAGCCTGGCTCAGCCCTCGCTGGACACACCTGCTGCCTGCAGCGCGTGGAAATGGCCGGACTGAGCAGCAAGAGCTTCGTGCCCGTCGCCCTGCTGGGGCTCCTGGCGCTGCTCCTCTGCGGCCTCTCGGAAGGTGAGCGGGCTGCAGGATGGGGCTGCGGGCTCACGGCCGGCAGCAGGGTTGGGGCGAGGTGGAAGGGGATGGGCTCAGCCGGGTGTGCTGCCTGCTCCTGCTCTTCTCTGGACGGGGAGCCGGGCACCCAGCGGGCCGGCGGCGCAGTCCAAACAGGGTTATTTACTTTGTCGTGCTCCTTTGTTCCAGCACAAAGCAACCAGGACTGCTGCCTGTCGTACACCAAAGCGCGCCTGCCCCGCTGGGCCTTGAAGGGCTACACCGAACAGCTCTCCAGCGAGGTCTGCGATATCCACGCCATCATGTAAGCTACTCCTCAGGAGGTCCTCTGGTTCTTTTGATGTGTGTTAGACTTAGGATATATGTTTGGGCAGAAACAATGATTTGAAAATGATGAGCATGACTGCTTGCTTTTCCAAACATTAAATGAACTAAGTTGTCTATAAGAACTGTAAGCAAAGTACATAACCTTTGGCTGATAGGCACTAACTCAGAGGAGAGCTGCACAATGTATGTAATAAATGTGTTTAGGAGCCAGCTGTGCAAACACAGACCTGCTGTGTCCCCAGCAGAGAGCTGCCTCAGCATGTTCCCTTGACAAAACCTGCCAAAGGGCGCATTGGTGACAAGAGTGTTCTTCATTCACAGAGATGGAATTTTTTCCATGTAAATGTTTTTCCATCTATATGTTGATCTGTCACCTCAGCTTCCCAGCAAGTATTCTCCTTAGTCTCACAAATAATTTCTGGCATTCAGCAAAGTTCTTTGGCTTGATAAATTCAATACTACTTCATGGTGCAAAAAATGATCTCTGAGCCTGAAGCAGCTATTACAGCCAAATTTAGTTAGGTATTTCTTTTTGTTGATGTAATATTAGAGGAGTTGTGGAGCATCCCATATCTAACCCACATTTTCAAAAGCAGTTGCTATTTATTACTTAAACTATGATTCGTGGTTTTGACCAAATGTATTGTCCCAATATTAACCAGCAGGGTTTTCTAATGCTTTAATGACCTCTTTATTACCATTTCTTTTCCAGTTTCCACACCTACAGTGGGCTGAAGGCCTGTGTAAATCCTAGGGAAGGCTGGGTGAAGAAGCACCTTCTTTTCCTGAGGTAGGCATCTAAAAATCTAAATACTCTTAGGCTTTCATACATGCTGTTTTCATTACCCTGTTTCTTACATCTCCTTAATGCCATTTCTGATGGAAATGCTGAACACACTTGTCCTTCTATCTCCTGTCAGATACAGCTGCTTCTTTTTAGAGTCTTCTCAGGGACAGGCATGTTGCATGTCCATTTTTTTGCCTAAGTTAGTCTCTGTGTCTCAGAGAGACAAATCTGTATTCAACCTGTGGCTGAGCTTATTAGTGATGTATGTTCTCTTGTTCTTTTAACAGCCACAAGCTCAAGAAGATGTCCATGTGATAAGGTTTCCAGAAAGGAACTGAACACAGATGTGGCTGAAGAAGCATGAGGTTCAACCTCCTGGTTGAGATTATTGCCTTGTACACTGTTGTGTGCTTACCCACCACTATTTCTGGCTTCTTTGGAACCATCAGACTTCCTGAGTTGATTCATATTGCATCGCTGTTTTGCTTGAATTGAGCATTTTGTTCAAGTTACTATTCTTACTAACCATGTGTATGTTACTAAGAGTACTGTTTAGTAAGGACTACCTTAATCTGTTGTACAGGGTATGAATTTTATTAAGTTTATTGCATGTTATTTTTGTTTTGTTTAGCATATGTAAAGTGAGTTATTTATTCTGTTACTTCCTTGGCACTGTTTTGTGCCAAAATGTTTCCTTTTAACTGTGTTTAGCATTATAATACTTATCAAACTATTGTTAAACAAAGTCTGCTTGAGAAAAAAGTGGAAATGGGAGGTTAAAAAATAAAATTGTAAAATCTGCACTCTTTGTGAAATGTTTGTTTTATTGAAAAAGATGACTTCCCCTTGAAAGAAATTCCTTTGCTTAGGAGTCTCCAGCTGAAACCATGACACCAGTGTGTTCACAGCTGTTAAAGCCACTCTCCACCTCACTCACCCAGTTTGTCCCACAGGTAGCTCTGGCCTCCACTGGGTGTAATTCCCGTCTTGCCCCCAGATAGCTTCTCTATATGAAGCTTTTACTTCACATGAAGATGTGTTCTTAGCTCGATTTATCTTAATCATATTTGAGAGAATTTATCTGACCAGCTCCTCTATCCAGGAGATAACTTACATGTTGTTACAGGACAAGCTTTTTGCTCATGAACCAAGAAGGATTATGATGGTGTTAATAATCTGCTCTCAACTTACAGGGCTACCTCTAGAGGAGAACTCTGCAGGAGCAAGGGGGCTTTCCTCCCCTTTATGCATTTCCTACAGTATCCTACTATGATTTCTAGCATGAGGTTTTTGTGATGCAGGATCTCTTGATGGAGGTCTGCAGACACTACTGCAGAACAAATGATACCTGAAAAAAGAAACGGGACTTCATGGAGCAGGTTGGACAGGGAAGTCTGCTCAGTAGTTACATGGACTTCAGAGAAGTGACCCAGTGGGCTGTGTAGGTGTATTCCCCTCATTATCAGCACTGGAGTCTTGCACATCAATCTAGGCCTTGTTTTTTGGTACCTTTCAGTCATAGAGATAGGAGGGTTAACTTAATCTTTAAATGTAAAGCATTTTTGGTGTTCTTGAGGAAGGAGCTGAGAGGTGTTGAGTTTCTCAACAGTGTTCATGAGTGTAAAGCTGTTACTTTACAGTTTCAAAATTCGCTATAACTTAAACAATATGCTTGTGGCACTGCAAATCTGGAAAGTGGCAATTCTTTGTGGGTGAAGCTCTGAAGGAGTTAGACTAATTTGCTTTGATTTCCAGGAGGTGGATTCCATGCCCTTGATATTCAGCATATCCTGTGAGAAGCTATTGTCTTCCCAGGGAGGTGCAATTACCTGTCATGTTCCCTAGGGATTCCCCTAACCTGGGGGCAAAGCTGCCGATCTCCCCTGGTATTTGCTAGCAGGCTGAATCATGCACCAGCAGCACGGTATGGACACAACGCATGGATTCTGGTTAAGGATGTGCTCAGTCAAGGTGAGGCTCCCAGGTCTGCCGTGGGAACGGGGAAATGTCAGTGGAGATGTTGGGAACCAGACCTGTCTATAAAGGTGGTGCAGAAAAGCCTGGAGTCTAAGGTAGCAGATTACAAGCAGGGGAGCATAATAATAAAGGGAAGATTGATTTGCCAAATCTGTGGGTGGCTCTTTGTACTCCCAGGCAGGGCCTGTTAAAAGTTTTGTATTGCTTCTGTAACCCATCCCTCCTCTTGTCAGCCTGGGCTCCATCGCCATAAAACCACAGGTGCTTCAACCACACAGCTATGACTCAATGGATTTATTTTTTTTAGTTCCTCTTACTCTGGTTGAACTTTTTTATTTTTTTAATAACCAACTCAAGTGGAGGAAAAAAACAAAAAATTTGAAAACTGGTTTCTGTGCTAAATAACATAGATTGATGAGGTTGTTATGTTACTGGTAGGAAATTCCATGTGAAAAGAGCATGTGCCTCTGTGCTCCTGAGGATACTACTGGGTATTCCAAGTGAGTGCTCATAATCATGAGATCAGAGCCATATTCTTGAAAGTAACCGTTAGTGGCCAGCTAAAAGTTCTGGCAGCTCTGAAAATCATAACTGTTTCTAGGAAATCCTCAATCTTGATCAATTTGGAGGGACTGTTCTGCATTTGTGTAGGAAGTTTCTTTTTCCTGTGCATCTTTGGCTCTCAGCTCAATTCAACATGTCAAATTTTGTTGTACGATTTGAGATGCAGTACTAGATAATCATTTAGAGACTTCTTCCCTTACATTTATGTAATTTCATTTAAGAAAATTATTTTTTTCTTGCAAAATACTACATGGCTTCATACTACAGCTTGGATGTCAGTTGGATAATGAATGTGAGAGTTTTCCCTGCAAAGTCTCAGCACAGCTTCATATTTCAGTTCCAAAGTCTCCTGCTTTCACTGTATTAAGACCCATCCTCAGTGATTCCTGTGCCTGATGGAGTATTATTATTGAATTCTATTTGGGCATATTCTTTCTGTGGTGTTTCACTTGGTTGTTTTTTTGTCTTTTGGGGTTGGTTAGCTTTTTTTTAGCTTGTATTTTTGCTTCTTTTTAAGTTCCTTATTTAAATTATAATTTTTTTAAAGCTATCTCACACTATTCCAAGTCAGGACATAGCAGCATTTCATTACCTTGGGTTGTCTGACAGGAAGGCTTTTCTTTGTGTATAGAATCATAATTAGATTTACTAATTTCTTAATATTTTTTCTTTCTTCCACTCTAGCACAAAGCAAAAGAATAACTTAGCAGTGCATGGACAGTGATTTTTATAAGGAATAACAAACCTTCTGCTGATTTAATTTTGCTTTCATGTTAAAATATAAAACCTGTCACATCTAATTTGCTGGGCAAGTACTAACAAGTCATTTGTTTCATTGCTGTTCAGTTGATATTAGTTCTTATCAGTTGAGGTCTGTTTTTTGTTCTTCATGTCTTGTTTTTCCCACATTCCACCCAAAGGAGGGTTGGAAATATATGCAAATACAAGAGACAACTGAGTGAAGGCCCTTCTCAAACCATGGTGTGAATTTTGTTCAACATATCTGAAATCCAAGCGTTCTTGGGTGTGTTTAGTGGCAGTGACACTTCTAGCTCTTTCACAGGGGTGTTGACATTTGGTCAGTTATTTTCAATTACCAAGGAGCAAATATGTCAGGAAAAGTAGAGACTAAAATACAATTGTTAAATTTTATTATTAAATTTACTGTAGCATTTATATAGCTTTGCTTATATGACTTCAGTTATACACCCCAAATAAAGTAACAATTTTATTTCTAAGCATCTGTATCTGTGTTTCTGTTTTCCTGAAATTTTGCTACTCTTTACCTTTAAATCAAAAACTCTATAATTTCTATTTTTTTTTTTACTTTCTTTTTTACTCTCTTTGTATCAAGGACACAGAATCAGAGTAACAGAATGTTAGGGTTTGGAAGAGACCTCCAGAGATCATTGAGTCCAACCCCCCTGCCAGAGCAGGACCATCTAGTCTAGTGCAGGTCACACAGGAACACATCCAGATGGGTCTTAAAAGTCTCCAAGGCAGGAGACTCCACAACCTCCCTGGGGAGCCTGTTCCAGTGCTCTGGAACCCTAACAGTAAAGAAGTTCTTCCTCATGTTGAGGTGGAACTTTTTGTGCTCCAGCTTGTATTGACACAATCAATAATCTGGGTTGAGATCCACTGAAAAAACAGATGTGCTCTATGTAGTGTTTGCATATGAAATTGTGCTGGATAGACTTACAGTGTACATCCTGTACTAGAGGGATGTCATCTACCAGCCCACACAAAAGCTAGGAGAAGAGGGATTGCACATGGCAGAGTTTCCCAGACTAAGAGTGCAAGCAAAGGCATATGGAAATCCCAGGAAAAAGAGCTGCTCCACTCTGAGAAGAGGTGACTAAGGTAAGTGAGAACTGACTCTGTATGAGCATCTGTGTATAAGAAGTCTGTATCACTGGCTCTGTTAAATTTGGTTCCTTCCCAGTTGTTAATATTATTACTGTAGAGGTGTCCAAGGACCACATAAGATGCAATCACTAAGGTTCACTAAATATGTCATTAATTCCTACATCTGTTAACTTGCAGACCTAACCACTTGGTTGAATCTGTTTGTGTGACCTTTGGATCCAATGTGTTCCAGCACACCCAGTTCTCGCAGTCCTTCATCTCCTGCAGTATCACACTTTCACTTTAATACAGCTCTGTCTTCTAAAACAAAGTGGCTTTCACTACTTGTCTGTTACCCGTAGGCTGGTTAGCTATCCTGTTATTTCTCAGGATGTCTTTGCTTCCCCTTGGCTCAGAGTGGTCTGAATTGGTTGCGTGGTGTCAGGCATATGTAGAAGTGCTCCTCTGTTTTCCTCACTGGGTGCATCCAGGTAACTCACTGCCTTTCATCTTGTGCAATTACCTGACACGGTCAGCTTTTTAACCAAAAGGTCTTCAGCCTCTTAGAGCCTGGACTGTGCAAGGCAAGGTTAAAAACATTTCTGAGTTCTTCTCAGAGAGGGTAAGAGAAATATATTTTATTGGGTTTTTTTTTTTTGCATTGAGGTTGTTGCATATTGTTAGGTCCACCCATCAGCTTGGCGAGGTTAGGAGGAAACACTCTCCCTTACAATGTATTTATATAAGCAAGGAAAAACTTTTTTCAGTTAAGTGTAGATTTGACTGCAACAAGTAAGAATGTACAGAATTTGCCTGACTGTGGGATATGCGAGCAGTTTGTCACGAATGGAAGAGAAGGAAGGAGCAAGAAGACAACTACTGTTTCTTTCTGGTACTTGTCATCTCACTGTACGTAAACAACACAG